GTCCCACTTGACCACCTGTACTTCTTGTCTCATTCTCTGTCCCTGCACCATTGGCATGACAACAATGAAAGGGTGGCAAGGGAAATGCTGCCAACAGTGCACCATGACTACGGAACAGTGAATTTCGGCAGCTGTCACGCAATGCTCAGATGTTGGATCGTTCTGAAACTTGGTGACCACTTGCACAGCGGGGCAAAGGACTGCCAGACCGAATTTCAGACCAATCAGATCTCGGTAGACGAGTCAGCAGCCGAAATGGTGAACTCGGGTGTTACCAAAAAGGAGTAACACACACTTCCGGGATGCCATAAGTCTTGAAACATAAAATGTTGTCATGCCTTGGTAACTGCTTGAAAAACTCTGAAACTTTGAGGGTTTGAATAAAACGTGTTGAAAAACCTCCCCACAAAATTCCAGAAGCTGAGCAGGCTTGTAGGCCGAATGGGAGTGCGATGACCGTGCCACTGTAATGTGTTGGCACAACAATTCTCACCCCAGGTCCTCCCCAGGTAGACCCCCTCCCCGCGCCAGGTCCTGCTCCTTCAGGTGTCTCTCAGATAGACCCCCCTGCGCCTGCGCCTGTTGAGGTCACTGGTGACTCCGGTCCTGCTGCGAGTGGTGCTGTCCCTGGGGGTGTGGAGCTTGGGGGTGCGGAGCTTGGGGCTGCTGAGTCTGGGGGTGCTGAGCGTGTGGAGCCTGGAGGTGCTGAGCCTGCGCGTGAGGAGCCTGGAGGTGCTGCGTCTCGTGGTACTACGTCTGGAGGTGCTGCGCCTGTGTGTGCGGAGCCTGGGGGTGCTGAGTCTGGGGGTGAGTCGCCTGAGGGTTCTGAGACTGCTGTTCCGCGGTCTCCTTGGAGTAGCCGTCTTCGTCCGCGTGTGCCCCTCACCTCCCAGCAGCTGCACGACTGGTACGGTCGCCGTCAGCGTCCCACTTCTGCACCTCAGGGCTCTCCTGCTGGAGGTTCTTCTGCTGGTGTCGCTGGTCCCGGAGGTGCTCGTACTGGGAGTGCTGGAGCTGCTGGGGCTGGTGGTGGTGCTGCTGGAGGTCCTGGAGCTACTGGCGGTGCTGGAGCTGCTGAGGGTACTGGAGCTGCTGGAGGTGCTGGAGGTGCTGGAGCTGCTGGTGGTGTTGGAGCTGCTGGGGGTGCTGGAGCTGCTAGAGGTGCTGGAGCTGCTGGAGGTACTGGAGCTGCTGGGGGTGCTGGAGCTGCTGGAGGTACTAGCGCTACTAGAGGGTCTGGTGCTACTCGTGCTGGTGGCACTGCTCAGCCGCGCCTGTTCTTTGCTCCGCCGTCTCCGTCGTCTCAGCCACCACCTGACTCTGCACTTTGCCAAGTTCTCAGTCTTCCCTCGTCTACTGGTCTTCCGTTACAGCCTGGCTCACCGCTGCCTGCTCCTTCTCCGTACACAGAGCAGCCTGGTGGCCTTGCAGAGCGTCGTGAGCCTGCGTCGCGTCCTGTCTCCCCTGTCTGTTCCGGTCGTCGTGTTCCTCGTCAGAGCCAGCCGGCTGTCTCTGGCCCTTCCCTTGTAGTTCGTCGTCCTTCCTCTCCTTCTCCGCGTGTTCCTTTGCCGCCTCCCCCTGCGTCCTCTCTGCCTGTCGTTGCTGACCTTGCGTCTGACCGGTTTCGTGCTGAGCACTCTACTGCCACGCGTTTGCTTGCCACTGTTGTCACTGACCCGTCGTTTGAGTCTGCTGCTGCGTCTGCCTTAGTCACTGAGCTTGTTGCCTTTGCTGCTCACTGTCGTCTAGACTACGCCGCCAGTCTTGTTGCTGAGTCTGTCTGTCCTCCGTCCGTCGGGGGTGAGTGTGCTCTTGGCACGGACGTCCTTGAGGACAGGCAGGAGGACGTTGAGTGTCTTGCAGCCGCTGCGCCTCATCTCGTATCCATGCTGCTTGCCCCTGAGGGAGACCCAGATGCACCAGACATCCCTACCCCGCGCTCTTACGCTGAGGCGATCGCGCGTGAGTACTCCTCTCAGTGGCAGACAGCCATGGACGCAGAGATGGCATCCTGGAAGTCCACTGGCACCTACGTCGACGAGGTTCCCCCTCCTGGGGCGAACATTGTCAGTGGCATGTGGATTTTCAGGGTGAAGCGGCCGCCAGGTTCTCCGCCTGTCTTCAAGGCTCGGTACGTGGCTCGAGGCTTCAGTCAGCGAGAGGGAGTTGACTTCTTCCAGACCTTCTCCCCCACCCCGAAGATGACCACTCTTCGGGTGCTGCTGCACGTTGCCACTCAGCGTGACTACGAGCTTCACTCTCTTGACTTCAGCACAGCCTTCTTACAGGGCAGCCTGCACGAGGAGATTTGGCTGCGCCGCCCTCCTGGCTTCACTGGGTCGTTCCCTCCTGGTACCCAGTGGAGCCTCCGGCGGCCGGTCTACGGTCTCCGCTTGGCGCCACGTGAGTGGCACGACACACTGAGGACGACACTTGCGGCTCTTGGGTTTGCTCCGTCGACTGCTGACCCGTCGCTATTTTTGCGCACGGACACTTCTCTGCCGCCGTTCTACGTTCTCGTGTACGTCGACGACTTGGTCTTTGCCACTGCTGACACTGAGGCTCTCGCCCTGGTGAAGTCGGAGCTGCAGAAGAGACACACGTGCACAGACCTGGGTGAACTGCGCAGCTACCTTGGCTTGCAGATCACCCGGGACAGAGCACGCCGCACCATCACACTGACTCAGTCACACATGGTGCAGCAGGTCCTTCAGCGTTTCGGTTTCACCTGGTCCTCAGCACAGGCCACTTCTCTGGCTACAGGTCACTTGCTCTCAGCTCCACCTTCGGACGAGTCCGTAGAGCCGAGTGGTCCTTACCCAGAGTTAGTGGGCTGCCTCATGTACCTGATGACTTGCACTCGTCCTGACCTTGCGTACCCTCTTGGCCTTCTGGCTCGCTACGTGGCTCCTGGTCGGCACCGAAAGGTGCACATGGATGCTGCCAAGAGGGTACTACGCTACTTGTGCAGTACATCGGGCATGGGGCTCGTGCTTGGAGGACGGGGTGACGTTGTCCTCACAGGTCACTCAGACGCCTCTTGGGTTGACGACCAGGCTACGCAGCGGTCGTCACAGGGTTACACCTTCAGCCTTGGTTCTGGTTCAGTTTCCTGGCGTTCTACACGTTCATCTTCAGTTCTTGGCTCCAGCTGTGAGGCAGAGATCTACGCCACAGCCATGGCTGCACAGGAGCTGCGCTGGCTCATCTACCTGCTGACCGACTTGGGAGAGAGGCCTCGTTCTCCTCCAGTTCTGTACGTCGACAACAAGGCCGCCATTGCCTTGTGTCAGGAGCACAGACTGGAGCACAGAACAAAGCACATCGCTCTCCGTTACTTTCTTGCTCGAGAGCTGCAGCAGCATGGCCAGCTTCGTCTTACCTACGTGGCCACTCGGGCCAACACTGCTGATATATTCACCAAGGCGCTTCCGCCTGGTGATCATCAGCGTTTCTGCACTTTGTTAGGCCTTGTGCCCACTCTTCCTCACTTGCTGTAGGCTTTGTTTGTACCATGATTTATATGTATTCCTGCATACTTGTTCTTGTAGGTAGATATCACTGTACTGTTGCTGTTACATATATATTTCTGCATGTGAACTGGCCTTGTGGCCTTCTTGCTTGCGCTCAGACTGCGTGGTGACGTTGTGATCCACCCTGAGCTTGCTTTGCACTTCCTGACTGGTCTTGTGACCCTCTGTTTTCCCCCACTTTGCCTATGGGGGTGTGTCAAACATATGTATATATGTGTTATAGTTTGGGTAGGCTTAGTGGGGTACTTACTGTGGGGTTCAACCCCTTGGGTTTTCACTTTGTACCAACCCTCTCGATAGTCGAAACCACCTTCTTTCCCGTAAGATTCTAACAAGAGGCAGGAGGTGGAGTAGGAGTAGTACCGGGAGAGCCGTTAGAGGAGCTTCTCTCCTTCTGCGTTGCCATGCCTTGTGATGTTGTGGGTGTCTTGATTGTAGTTGAATTTGTCCTGATAGCTCTCATACCATGTTGGGCTGAAAGAAGCCCTTAGGATCTTTGTAGGACTAAATTCTGAGTAGGACAATGTAATAGCGGAAGCGTTAAATGAGAACTTTGTGAACCACCTTGCGCTAGTATGTGAGGGCAAAGTAGATTGATTAAAACAAAGGGATACAAGCTTTTATAAGAGTACAAGGAATACGAAGAGATACAGTTAATAACCGTTTTGCTGTTACTGTTGCGGTTCGATACAGTGACGACTCGGGCAACTGCTCAATAGCGAGTCAGTTGTTTGTCTTTGCTGTCGCGCTGACCTTTGACTTTCGCATAACCTCCAGCAGTTGTTCAACCTCCGAGGGTTGACTCGCTAATGCTTCGATATGTTTCGCTTCGCTTCTGACTTTGTGTTTCGACACGACAGAGGCGCTAAATCAATTGTTTCCAACATCCTTTACAACTCATAACAAGCCTGAGGAAGCGCACATGTAGAAAGGTACTAGCATTTTAGAATGCAGGAACACTTTTAGATACGTAAATATCGCTGTACAAGGAGCATTATAATAATTACGGTCAGTTCCAATGTCAATCACAGACTTGCATCAAACAACCATCAGGAAATGGAAGGCTATGGCAATGCATTCATGTCTGCACTGCACAGCATGCCAGCCAAAGCCCTCCTTCACTACCTTCAAGTTAGTACCCGCATATCCCACCAACCGCATCCCTGCGCCTCTCGTTGCCAGCTCTCTGCCTGGCAGCAGCATTAGCCATCCATTCACCCAGGCAGCTGGGACATCTGCCAGGCAGTGCTCGCTGGCAACCGCCATGGCAGCAGCATTGCAGCAAGGGCACCACAGCAAAGCAGCAATCGCAGCACAGCACAGCGGCTAGCACGTCTGTCTGACAGTGTTGGCAACGGCCTGAGCCCAGAGCCTGAGTTGCGTCTTGACGTCCCAGGGGGGGTCCTGCGGGTTGCCAAACGACCATCGAAGCGCTTCAAAAGCAGCAAGCGCAGCACAGCACGGCGGTTAGCACGTCTGTCTGACAGTGCTGGCAACGGCCTGAGCCCAGAGCCTCAGGTGCGTCTTGACATCCGAGGGGGGGTCCTGTGGGTTGGCAAACGACCACTCCCCATCCAAGCTGCCGCTCACCCCCCTCTGCCCCTGCTGCTCATGCTCCGGGCTGTGCCCATGGCTATGGCTCCTAGCGCAGGTGGTGCTGGTGCTGATGAGGGATGGGATGTGGCGTGGGGACGATGGCATGGAGCTGCCTCGCTGCTGCTGGGGTTAAAAAGTGGGGGGAAACAGAGGGGGAGGGGGAGGATAAGGGGGGCCAGTCAGGTGGGGATGGTTAGTCAGATAAACCAGGAACAACACCAGGCAAAACAAGCGACAGCCCATGAAATTCGCAGCAGCTGAATGCGAGGCGTAAGCGATTCAGGCAAGCGGCCGTACCATGGCATGAGGTTCAGCCGAGCGAGCAACAATGAACGGGTCCCGGGGGGAGCACGAGATCCGTGGCGATGAGGTGCCGCTGCCAACCCCCACTGCCACACTGCCGTCCGCACCACCGGCAGCAGCACCGCCAGTAGCACCGCTTGCGGCACCGTGAACATCATCTGTAGCAGCAGCGGCTGTAGCGGGAGCGGCGGGATGATGGTGGCGGGAGATGAGTCTCTGCTGCACGCTCCCCACGGCGTGGTACAGGCGCAGCGCGGGCAGCGTGGCGGTCATGCGCGCGCTCATGTCCGCCTGGCGGAAGTTGAATCCCAGATCCATGAATCCCCGGAGTTCCTCCACGTCAGCCTCTGCGAAGGGTACACATGGCAAGGCGGCAGAGGAACAAAAAAACTAAATGCTGGAATAGAGGGAAGGACGGGGGGTAGGCGGAAGGATCTAGAGGGTGGGTGGGGTTGAGGGGAAGGGAACCGGGTGAGGACTGTAAGACCTCTTTTCTGCAGGCTAGGGTCTGAACCGAGCAGCAGAGGACGAGACGGGGAAAAAAAACAAATGCAAATGCATTTCCTGTAAAATCTTACTTAAGACCACATCCGCTTCAATAATCCCCTCCCCCCTGCTAACCTGTCAGACTTCTTGCGCGCGCGGAGGGTGTCAAGGGGAGCCCGTCTCCCCCTTCCGCCTCCGCGTCCGCCTCATATGCGCCTTGCCGCAGCGAGCTGTTGCGCTCGTACTCCGCCGCGTCATAATCCGACACACTCCGCGTGCGCAAATACCGCGGCTTCCCCGCGCTTCTGCTTCCGCAACTCCCCCCACCCGCTCCATTCTCTGCTTCTCCCGCCCCCGGCCCCCGCGCGGACCAGTGGAAAGGGGGAGAGGGGTGAAACGCGGAGAAATGTTCTCCGCCGCTTCCCCGCCTCTCCGCGTACGTCCCCCGGCCGGACGAAGCGTAAGGGGAAGCAATGCGCTCGTAGCAGTCGCCGTCGCTGCTTCGCGTCTCTATCGAATCCCGCTGCTCTTCATCTGTCGGTAGCGGGGGATGCGGAGGCATCGACACGCGTCTCGACATGCGAGCCGCGTCGAGGCTGCTGCTGCGCTTCGGTCGCCGCTTGCTTCCTGTCCGGCAGCGGCGGCGCCGGTACTTTCCGAAGCTGCCTTCAGGGTCAGGCTCAGGACTGCCAGACCTGGAACAACCGCTCGGTTCGGACATAGCCGAAGCACCCCCGCTGGTTCGGTCATCAGCCGACGCGCAAGCACACTCCGCTGCCGCACCGCCTGCACCTTCGCGGAAGTGGCTGGCGGAACTTGGAGCGTTTAAATCCACGTGCGCACACGCAACCCTCCCCGTTTCCGGGACCCCTGGAAGCGCATCCCCGTTATCAGCATCCTCTGTCTCGTTAACAGCTTCCTGGATTGTGGTTAAATCGGAATCATGGGGCCAAGCGGCAACATTGCTAGAGAACCACCCCTCGTCGAGCAACTCAAGCAGCGAGCCTCCCACTGCTGACACGCCGGCAGGAGACGCCGGCTGCTGCTGCTGCTGCTGCTGCTGGCGCTTGGAACCCAGGGACGCGAACGGAAGCAAGCTTAAGAAAGAGCGGGAAGGAGGAGGCGTGTCAGAACGGGTAGCAGGTGGTGAAGTGTCAAGGAAGGAAGAAGATATCGACGCGTTCGCTGGAGGGATAGTGGATTTGATAGCAGGAGAGGCGCTGGTACTGCTGCTCCTGCTGCTCACATCAGCGCCAACGCCGTCGCTGCTCCGGGAGTCGCGGGAGCAGCTTTTATAGGGAGATCCAGCCAGGATAAGACCGTTACTCATTAAGCCTTTAATCAGAAGTGGCGTATGACGTACAATGAATGGAAACGGGTGCCTTAATTTCCTTATTTATAAGAATGATGTAAGTCAATACTAAGGTAACGACAATGACAGCGCGCTGGTTTACAGGCGAAGGCGAGGATGTTTTAACTTCAATATTAAGGTTTAATGTTAAGAGGTCACGTGCTAATAAAAGAAAAGCCGTCCAGCCATGATGAATCGCATTAACAAATATATTAAACCGCTGATATACTAAGGTGCATGCAGCTACCTCTGAAGCATATCGCACTCACGATGACCCCAGCAGCCTAGGCAGACACTAAGATTCCTCCTACCTACAACAGAAGCCAAGGACTCCCAACAAAGGAAACTCCACTTTCAAGCTGAATAACTTCTATCCTCACTGGCTCCTGTTTTCTAGGGTCGTGTGAGTCTGGTGACCAGTGAGTGCTCCCGAGGACTAGCAAAAAGGAGTGTGCTTGTCCGCCAGCAGCAGGTGCTGTACAGCCAGCAGAACTGAGATTTGTGGGCAGCTCAGCAGCGCCGCATTTCTTCCTCCCTCCCCTCCCCACCACCCCTCCCCCCCCCCCCTCCCCTTCCCCCCCGCTTTTACTCCATCTGCTTCCGGCGATTGCGCGGACAGCAAGGTCAACCAGGCAGGCTCGGGGGAGGTGGTGGGGGAAGAAAGATGCGGTCTGCTCCACCTTCACTCTGTTTCAGGGAGGCTCTTCTCTTCCGATGGAAACAGATGGTTGGTCGGACCCCATCATGGGGGACGCAAAGGCCCAGTGTACAGCAGGGCTGGTGCGGGAAAGTATTTTTGGGCAGTTCGCGCTTCTCCGGAGTTGTGTGAGTGGTTGCTCAACCTTGACAGGTGACTGAGGGCGGTTGGCGCTGAGGTTAGTCCAACGTGGCGTGTCAGGAATCGCTGTTATCCATGCTGGATGATGCATGGATCTGGGACGACCCTCGGGAAAAAGCGATTGAGTAAAACTTTTTTCATTGGGCAGGAGTTTCGGGCATCGGAAGGGTATGGGATATTCGCCGAGGCATGATCTCCACCATTGCATTATCAGGAAAGCATCATTGTCAACCGTTCTGCACAATGTGGTAGCCTCCAACGGTGCCACGAAGGACAAGTAGACAGGTTTGCTGACCACAACGTGCTTTCCTGGTGCTTTCTCACTCTGACGTTGTGCCAGCATGGATATGAGGAGTCGTGACTGCGACGCGGAGAGTTGGGGCTCAGCGCGTGCCTTAGAACCCACAGATTTCGCGCTTCTTTCCACACAAGTGACCGTACTGAAATATTCCTTTGCAGTTGATATTACCCTATTTTCAGCAACATTTGTCCGCATGCTTCCTAAAAATGACATGCATTTGGCTTCTTACGGTGCTCGTCATGCGAGATACTGTATCCCCCATTCAAGACTAAACATTTTCTCGCACCTGTGTGCTAGTTCCCACGTTCCGATACTCTCACTCACACGAGAGAGTCAACTACTATCCACAAGGAACGTGCCACCTGGAATATTACGAATCCGCGTGTCCTCACTATGCGTGTCGGTTGGCCCAATTGCCTCGCCTGTGAGCAACCTTCTTACATATTCCTGTGATCACTATTTGACCCTCCCTTCTCAAGCTCATAAACCATGTTCACAACCTACCAGTTCCACTATTCATGCATTTCTACAAACAGTATTTCACCAAAATCAGGTTTGAGGAATGATTAATAGACAAATGGAAATAGAGAATTTGGGATGAAATCTGGACGTAGATTACTTAACGCATGATAGTCTCATTTATGTGATATTGTAACCAACCATAAATTGTATTTGTTACGAATAGTAATTGACGAAGCATTACTGTGCACTCCTCACCGTAGCAAACGAAGCACGCACTACCGTTGCTGAAGATGAAAAGGCGGAAGTGACGCGAAGGGTCGCACGGTTACGAAAGGATCTGAACCGTCGTGCAGACATCATCAGGCAGCAGCAGTGGCAAGGATTCTGCCCAGGCAGTTCGTAACCGTCTGGAGTCGCACGGTTGGGTTTCGCTGCAATAAGGGAATGTACCCCTTAGATTACATGGCTAGACTAGGTCGATTGGTATCCCCTTGTACTCTGATTTATATTCCTGTACTTGCATGTTTTTATCATCTCAAACATTTTACATACACTCTGTTACTGAGGTCAAGGGCCCACCACCACTACTCAGACGTGTGCGAACCTTCCTGAGGTGATCCTAGGGTCGATCAATCACTGATCGCAATATGGTATGAGAGCGACTCAGGAATCCTTCGCACCACCACCTCCGAAATCTTCGGCGAACGGAAAGTGGCGTCCGGCACACACTCGCGTGTGAGAATGGCCAAAGGATCTAGTGGCCGGACGAATATGACGGCTGAAGCGCAGACCAAACAGGCTGCGACAAGCGAGGAAACGACGACGATTGGAACCGCCGCCCTCGCATAGATGCTTCAGCAACTCACCAGCCTGGAGCAACAACTCCAAACATTGCGGAATGGCGACGCGAGAACATCTTCCCAACCCACTCAACCGGCCTCGAACGGCCACAATACCGCCCCGCATACCTTCTCCCTCGACACAAATGGCTCAACACCCAAGACTCCCCGTCCTAGCGAAGAAGCAATTCTCTCTGCGCAATCAAGGTTTATGAGCATATCTAAAATAAAGGCAAGTGTGCGTTTTGACGGCAGAGACTTCTATATGTGGAGCTTTGAGCTGGAAGTGCTGTTGCAAAACGCGCAGATATTTCATTACTTCGACGGGAGCTACTCGGGACCCACTGAGGACACTGCTGATGCCCGAACGCAGTACTACACCGAGTCGTTGATGGCGTACGGCGTCCTCCTACGGAATATGTCGCCGGCGGAGCAGTTGAGCATTCGCTCGTACAAGACGACTCCTGCTCCAGCCCTCGATGATTGGCGCCATCTAAATGGCGTGTACCAACCGAAAGATTCGGTTTCATCGAGCCGCCTGCTCCAGCAGCTACTGGAGACTAAAATGGCCTTAGGGGAGAAGGTCAACAGCTACATCAACCACTGTCGGAGCCTACGCGATCAAATCGCGAAGCTGGGAAGCACAATCTTAGAGGAGATTTTCGTGAACATCGTGCTTCAAGGGCTCGGCCCAGAGTGGCGGCCCTGCAAGGCGCTTCTCCGACAGCAGGGGGTCATCTCGGAGGCCACCCTATGCGCCGCCCTTCTCGTCGAACAAAGGGATATGGATCAGCAGCGACCAGCGCCACGACAAGACAGGGAATGCCTCGCTTTCTATGCCGACAACACGGAGGAGCGACGGCCGCGGCGCCTTTGCTGCAAAATTTGCAGAAACTTTGGGCACCTGGAAGATCGATGCAAATTCCGATCTCGCCCTCGCCAGACCAATCCGAGCAACTGGTCCGGCCGATAAGACGCACGGAACGACACGCGTCCAGCCCAAGGGCATCAACCCCCATCGCGCAACCTGAACCCAATGGTTCAGCATCAGCAGCAGCAGCCACCGACTGCGCCCGTCCGCAACGTCATGGGGAACATGACGATGACAAGCGGATCCCGTCGTCCCCGCGCGCGCTCACCGTCACTTGAGCCAGCACGCCACCCAATCGGAGCATTCTCGAACAACAATCCGTTCAGTACGCGTCACGACTTCAGTGACGAAGATAACCAAGTTTGGAATCTCCTAGTCCCGCTGCTTGAAAGCCCCTCGCACATACCTGATACGTCGGTGGCACCGATAGATTGGATCGCGCGCGAACAATTTCTGAAGGTTGACACACCGCACATCGTTACTCCGCGACTGGCGCTGCTCGCACGTAACTACAACAGGCGCTACAACACGTGGTACCTGGATAGCTGCTGTGGGCAGCACATGGTGGGCTCTGAGCGTTACATATCCAACGCCATCCCCACCCCCGCCATCACCTACGTCACCGTGGCGAACAACACATGCCTGCATGCAAGCGCGCAAGGAATCGTGGTGCTCAAGGCTCGAGCAAGCAGGACGCACATCACACTGAACGACGTGCTGATCCTGCAGACCTTACGCTTTAATCTCCTCTCGGCGGCCCAACTCATGGATTGCGGAGTTGACCTTAGCACAGACCCTGAGACATGCGACATCCTGCTTCACTACACCACGACGAACAAATCCCGCAAGCGGATCGGAATAACTCATTAAGAAAACTGAGTCTACTTTATCGACTTCGACATTCCCGACTGCAGCGGCCACTCAGATGAGCTCATTGATCTCGTTCCCACACGGCTCGAACATATTCACCACCGTGACTGGAAACACCCAGACGGAAGACCATGGGTGCCGCATCACCTTCACCCGCACGAGCAGGCGCTGCACGACCCCGACCCTGGTGGCATCTGCAGGGATTGCCATACGCCCACAGCCTCAACGAGTGCGTTTGCCGACTGTGGTCTTGCCGCCATCGCCGAAGCAGAGCGGGAAGCACCGCCTGAAGAAGGACTGTCTCACTTGGATCTCGAGACTGCCACGCGCGTCGTCTTCGGAACGGAGGAACATTCCCTCCCTAGACCCGCATCACAACATCTTCGGGGCATGCTGCGCGGCGTTGGCATCGGCACCTTCGATGCACACGGAATGTGGGGCCCATAGTGACCCCATAGGCAAGTTCACAAGAGGCGATCCCCACAGCAGCAATGACGACGACGACGAATCTCCTGAAGGAGGTGCAGGCGCAACAGGCGGAAGCGGAAGTGGCAGAGGCGCAACACCACCAGCACCGCCCGAACCAGATAGCGATGACGATGACGTACAGGAGGTCACCCCGCAGCATCGCCACGACAGCACCGTCACCAGACTTCAACTTCTCGGGCTCCACACTGCCACCTCAACAGCGCCACGTGTCATCGAGCCGAAGAACCCTCGCCAAGCACTCACGGGACCACAAAGCAAGGAATGGCGTGAAGCGATGGATGCGGGATTCAAGGCACTTGAGTCTCGCGA